AACCCAATAAGTGATGGGACCCAGATCTGTCCTGGCCCTGCTCTTGTTGATTTAAAGGAGTTGGTTCCTTCTCACCAAGCTCCTGCCATCCCACGGGCTGTGGTCGAGGGAGCAGGGAGCAGCTGGGATGTTTCAGAGCAGAGGCATTTGTGCCCTTTTGTGCTGCTTGATTTCCTTTCTGAGGAGCTGGGAAGCCTGTTTGTGCAAGGACCCGCTTCAAACAAAGGTCAACCTGTTCCTGTCTAATAAGGCCATGTGGGTTCCTTCCCTCTGCTCTGGGACGTTCCTGAGCCTCCTTCCCTTCGGGCCTGGTTGCCTTTGCCATGGGTTTGCCCCCCGGGTAAGGAGTGCCCTGTGTTTCGCCGCAGTACGAGGACCGTCACGCCAAGTGGGACACCAACCGGGCGGGCTTCAGCCACAGCCATCAGCACGGCTTCGGGCTGCTGAACGCCTGGAGGCTGGTGAACGCTGCCAAGGTAATTCCCTCCCCGTGCCATCACGGACACGGCTCCTGTGCTGGCAGTGCCATGGGGAGACACGGGTGCTGTGGAGGGCCAGCCTTCGGCCATCGTCTGGCCAGCCCTCGCTGTGAGGCTGCTTTGGGTATGAAGTCATGAGGCTTTCGGCAGAGCCTGAGACCTGCCCCAGCTGCAGCGCTCCCAGCACTATATATAGCCATGGCGAGAGCCTCCGCTGCTGGGAGACGACAGCTCTGATTCATGGCTTGGGCAGTTCCATCAGCAGCATCAGCACCCTCCTCCCTGCACAGGGTCTGCAGGGCAGGCACCGTGCCCCAGGCAAACAGGGGGTTCTGAGCTGGCAGCCCTGGGGCTGCCGAGGCAGTGGTGTGCTCAGAGCAGGACAGGGCGTCCCCATCCCTCCCTCCCGGTGTGAGCAGGGCACATCCCTTTGGCACTTGGTCCTCGCTCACACTCAGAGCACTGTAGCTGTGCCGGGTCACTGCTGCTGGCCAGCGATGCTCCTGTTTCACAGGGACTTTCGGGCTGCTCTCTTCCTGCAGGCCTTTGGGTTCTGCTTTAACCTGCCCGAGGGGAGACTGAGATGAGCTCTTAGGCAGGAGCTCTTCCCTGTGAGGGTGCTGAGGCGCTGGCACAGGGTGCCCAAAGAAGCTGTGGCTGCCCCATCCCTGGCAGTGTTCAAGGCCGGGTTGGACACAGGGGCTTGGAGCAAGCTGCTCGAGTGGAAGGGGTCCCTAAACTGGATGAGCTTTAAGGTCCTTTCTAACCCAAACCACTCTGTGGTACTGTGAGTCTGTGTTTCCTGCCCTGCTGTACCTGGGGTTGAAACAGAACAGCTTCGAGTAACTGCTTAAAGCCACTTGGGTGATGGCAAAGGCAAACCCAGGATGGGGAGCCCCAGGCCTCAGTTGGCCCCTCCAGCCCCAGGCCATCACCTTCCTGCCACTCCTGCAGCCCCACTGTGCTGCCGGGGTGCCCCAGAGCAGTGTCAGGACAAAGCCCCTGGCACACCCACAGGGAGCAGCTTCAGGAGCACTGGGAGACGGAGATGGGATGTGCAGGGAGGCTGCATCCTCGTGCTGGATCCTGCCCTTTCCCCTGCAGGTGTGGGAGTCCGTCCCGTACCTCGCCTCCTACGTGAGCCCGGCCCTGCGGGAGGGCCGGAGCATCCCGCTGCTTCCACGGGAGCTGGAGGCTGCCTGGAACGGTGAGAGCACGCGCTGGGCACACCAGGGCCACATCCAGCCCGGGCCCCGTGGCGTGGGGCAGAACTGCTGACAGCCAGGGGCTGTGCGAGGGCACCAAGGGGTTAAGCATCGGCTGCCTGGGCTTCTTCCTCTCTGCTTCCTCTGCCTTCCCCAAGGGAGCTGTGTGGGTCCATGTGGTCCCCTCCCCATAGCTCCATCCCACGGAGCCATGGCTTTGCGGAGCCAGACAGGCATTGGGAGCGTGGCCGGGCTGGGCAGCAGCCAGACCTGCTCCTCTGGCTCTGACCATTTTAGGTAATGCTCCAGCTCCTGACTTGGCCTCCCTCTCTCCACATAAACAAGGCGCTGCTCCGGCTGCTACCAGTGGGAAGCGGAGCTCGGCCCCAAGCCCTCCCCGGCCCCCAGCATTGCCACAGCGCCCTGGGCGGGCTCCTGCGCCCACAGCCTGTGAGTCAGGGCTGGGAGGGAGAAGGTTGGGTGTCACGGAGCCCATGGCACAAGACGTGTAGGGATCGGCAGGGCCCCACTTGTGACATGAGGTTTGGATGCAGGCGAGAGGCTGCTGGTGCTTGAGAGGGCAGGGTTAGGGTTAGGGTTAGGGTTAGGGTTAGGGTTAGGGTTAGGGTTAGGGTTAGGGTTAGGGTTAGGGCCTTGGGTCCCTCTGTGTGAGCAGGGCCAAGCCTGGGCTCCTGTCACCTTCCTGCTCTGGGTGTGCTGGGAGATGCCCAGGAGCCAGCTTCCCCGCTGCTGTGCAGTTGCCTCTCACCCCTCCTTCCCCAACACCTCCTGCTCAGCCCTTTCTCCCCCTCCTCTCCATCCGTCCTGGCTGAACTCAGGCAGGGCACGGAAGGGCACAGAGGTGAGCACGTGTCTCCTGGGAAGGGGGGTCCATCCCAACCACCTGCCCTTTCCCAGTCAGCACCGCAGACCTGGAGCAATCCGGGATGAGAACCCTGGAGCACGTGGCTGTCACCGTCACCATAACCCATCCCCGCCGCGGCAACCTGGAGATCCGGCTCTTCTGCCCCAGCGGCATGATGTCCCTGATAGGCACCGCCAGGAGCATGGACTCGTAAGCACGGGGGGGGGACAGGGCAGGACACCCACCGGGGCCCGGTCCAGCCCCTCTCAGGGGTTGTTTCTCCTCCCCCTTTGGCAGGGACCCCAATGGCTTTGCTGACTGGACCTTCTCCACGGTCAGGTGCTGGGGCGAGGAGGCGCAGGGCACCTACAGACTGGTCATCAGGGACATCGGTGAGTCCCGCCCTCGGGACCTTCATGCGGCAGCAGCTCCGTGTGGCCGTGGGTTGGTGCCGCCCGGCTGGGTGGGACAGTTCCCACTGGACCAACCTGTTTCTTCCCCAGGAGATGAGAGCCTGAGGCCTGGGACCTTGAAGCAGTGGCAGCTGACCCTGTACGGCTCCTCCTGGTCCCCAGCGGAGATGAAGGAGCGGCAGAGGTGGGACACCACAGCCCTGTCCTGCTGGGGAGGTCATTAGTGGAGGGCTGAGGGACATCATCCTGAGGCACTGCTTGCCTGGAGCAGGGCTGCTGTGCGGTGCATGGAGGGTGAAGCTGCAGCCTGGTCGCCAGCCCCTAGCACAGGGCCACTTGGCTGCCCTCAGTACCCAGCACAGGGGAGCTGTGGGCAGTAGAAAACAGCTCAGTGGCTGGGTTTGACCCAGGAGGGCAGCCCACAGTGGTGGAAGAGACCCTGGGGACCCTCCTGGAGCAGCCCTCCCTATGGGACCCTCATGTGTGCCTCGATCCCACAGGCTGCTGGAGGAGGCCATGAGCGGGCAGTACCTGAGCAGCGACTTCTCCCTGCCCTGCCCTCCAGGACTGGAGATCCCAGAGGAGCAGCGCTTCACCATCACAGCCAACACCCTCAAGGTGAGCCCGCCCATGGGAGGGGGACACTGGGGCTGGCACCGAGCAGGGGGACCCCATCCTCTGCCGGAAGGGAGAGTGAGAACCAGCCCCACTCATCCTCCTGGTGCTGAGGCTCAGTGCTGGCCATTGGGGCAGGGCTTTGTTTCTGAAGGGGCTTCCTCCCCTGCAGACCCTCCTGCTGCTCGGATGCTTTGCCGTGTTCTGGACGTTCTACTACATGCTGGAGGTTTGTCTGACCAGGAACAACGCGGGGCTGGACCTGGCCTGCGCCGGCTCCACCGCCTGCAGGTGGTACCAGCAGGGAGGGAAGCACAGAGCCCTGGAGAGCGGCCTGGAGATGGAGTCCGTGCCGCTGTACCGGGAGAAGGACACGGAGGACGTGGAGCTGGAGTGTGAGCACCCGGAGCCAGCCCGGGATGGGGAGGACCGGTCCTGGAGCCCCAAAGTGCCCTGCGGCCGGGAGGCGACGGCAGAGCTGCTGCTGGAGGACAGGGAGCAGCGGCCGTGCTAGCTGGGGCTGGGGGTGCGGGCTGTGACACCCCCTTGGTACGGGTACATCCTTCCCTGCATGGGCAGCACGGGCTCCCCGAGCCCTGTGTCCCGCGGGAGGTGGCGGGGAGCGGCTCAGGACCCAGGAGGAAGAGTGCTGGCAGCGGAAGGGGAGCTTCCCCTTCCCTCGCTCTGGAACACAAAGCAAGCCTTAAACCTGTTCCTAAGGAGCCTGCCCTGCAGTGATGCTCAGGGCTTCCCCACAGCGATGCCTCCTGCGAGCCCCCATGCACGTCACTGCTTCCATGGCCAGGGAGAAGCGTTGCTTTGGCCCCGAACCCTGCAGAGTGAGCCTGGACGCTGCGGCAGGGCCCCCAGAGCGCTGCCGTTTCCTGCCCCACTGGGCTAGGGGCTGGCTCGTGCCCACCGCTTAGGCCCAGCTTAGGAGAAAGGAGCCTTGTGCCCATCTCCAACGTGCGCCCTGTGCTCCTGGGCAGGCAGGAGGCGCCGGGGCACCAATCCCTGCTCCTGGTGCCCGGGATGGACGAGGCAATGGGTGATGCCCGCAGTGGGGCTGGAGAGGGGCGGTTGAGCTGCTCTGGCAGCGGCTCAGCGCGGGGTTGGCTCCTTCCCGTGTCCCTGGGTTTATTTTTCTAGCGCCGGGGTCGGTTTTTTAATGAGCAGAGCCCTTTTGTGAAGCTTTCCAAATAAAGCCTGGAAAACCCTCCCCTGCCCGGGCTCCCTCCCCTGCCGCCGCCGAGCCGTGACTCCCCCCCGCCGGCCCGCCCTCTCCCCTGCTCCTGCGAGCCGGGATAACCGGGATGCTCCACCCGGGGCCGGAGCAAGGAGCGGGGCCGCGCCGCATCCTCAGGTGCTGCGCAGAGGGCGGCTGCACCCTGCGGGGATGGAGGGAGCGAGCCCGGGGCCGCGCTAATGAAGAACCTTTTAATGTTGACCGAACCCCAAGTACAAAACCGAGGCCAATTCTGCTCCCTCCCCGATGCGAGCGTCTCTGCGGCGGTGGCTGCGGCGGGGCTGCGGGTGGCTCCGGGCTCAGCCCATGGCTGCGGAGCGGCGCTGGCGATGGCGGGCGCGTTCGTGCCAATAAATACCAGTGTGAGGGGCGGTGGTGGCCCCGGCGCTGGGCCGGGGGCAGCGGGCGGGGGGGACGGGACATTTTAGCTGATGATCTGCCGGGGCCGGCCGTAGCTCATCCCCGCCTGTGATGCCCCCTTGTTGCTCCCCATCTGTAGGCCGATGACGTTCTTGCCCTCCTTCAGCTGGCTCTCGGTGAACTCCCGCTTGTGCTCCTGCGCTTTCCTATGGGATGGAGGGACAGGACATGCGGCACCCGCACCCCCTGGGTGGCGTTCACCGGGGATGCGTGGCCACCCGCCGTTCCCGCATCCCGGCAGTGGGAAGAGCCCGCTCCAGACTGCCGTGGGGCAGGGGAGTCCCCACGCCCGGCACTGGGCTCCCCCCACACTTACTTCATGAACCAGTTGGGGTCCCCATGGTAGTGCCCGTCGTTCTTGGTGATCGCCAGGCTCCCCAGCGCCATCAGCGTCCTCTGCACCGCTGCCATGTCCTTGGCTGCAATGGATGGAGGGGGTGAGGATGGGCACAGCGCAGCAGCCCCATCCCTCCCCAACCCCGGTTTCCTCACGCACCTTCAAAGAGGTCGACGGTCTGGAACACGTCGGTCTTGACCACGCCGTACTCCTCGGCTGCCTTGAGGAACTGGGCGATCTGCTCCATCTGCTTGAAGACCATGGTAGGGGGGGTGTCGGGGATCTTCACGGGCTTGGAGCCGTCGGGGTAGAGGCTGTTCACCAGCCTGCTGAGGACCTGCGGGCACAGGAGAGCCTGGGGTCGCTGCACTGCGCAGCACCCCCCCCCACCTGCCCCACGGCCCTGCAGCTCCGGCCCCACACTTACGATACCGTTCTTCAGCCAGACCTGGAAGCCCAGGCGGCCCCGCTCGGGGCGCCCCACGGCGGCCCCGCACTGCGCCACGATCCACTCCACCAGCCGCTCCTCCAGCTCGTCGTCGTACTTCTTCTCGATCTTGGACTGCACGTCCCTGCTCATGCCGTACGCCGGGCCCTTGTTCGCCATCGCTGCGGCACGTGGGAGACCTGGTGCAGGGTTGGGGACTGTCGGGATGTGGAGGTGCTGCTGAGACCCCAGCACCTCGGGGCGTCCTCCAATAGCTCTTCCCTTGCCGGCCCAGGTGCCCTCTCCCTGCTCCAAGGCTTCGGATGTCCCCCAGGGCAGCCTCAGCCCAGCCTCAGCCGCCTGCCAGCTCTTGGCACGGGCGCTGCTGGTGTGGCTGCATCCTGCAGCCTGAGCTGTCCCCATGGGGGATGCAGGGTGACCATGGCTGGTGACCGTGGCACAGTGGGGTGGCCCCAGCGCGGTGACTCCAGGCGCCAGGAGGAGCGCAGGCGAGGCAGGATGCGGTGGGAGCCGTGCCCGTGCCCTTGTAAGGACATGCTGTGGGCAGGGAGCGCAGGTAGCTGCAGGGTGCCAGGAGGATGCCAGGCGGGAATGGCGCCGGGAGCCGGGAGCCCAGCCCTCGGTGGCGCTGCCCCGCTCCTCCAGCTCTGCTCCGTGCCTGGAGTTAAGCCTCAGAAGCGGGGCTGTGCCCTTGGGGAGCCGCCGGCTTGGTCCCACATCCGTACCCTGCCCCGGGATGGCTCCCCACGACCGCTGGGGACACTGGATCCTCTGGGATGGCTGAGACCTGGCACAGCTCGGTGCGGCAGAGGATGCTGACCCCGCCTGCTGCCGGCCGTGCGCTGATACCCCATGAGCCCATGGTTTATGTAGGGGTGTTCCGTGAGCCCCACAGGAAGCCAGTGCCCACATCCTGAGCACCAACAGCCACATCCAGCAGGGCCCTGTGCCATGTCCCAGCCCGGCACACGATGATGGTATTTGGGCCCCAGCCTCGCTGGTCACAGCTCCCTCCACCCCATGGCCGTGCCTGCTGGGCACTAGACGCCTGAGAGCCCACCAGCCCAATGCCTATCTCTGGTCCCCAAGCAGAGATATGGGACATACAGCGGTGAGTGGGGTTTGCCATCACCCCCTCCACACTGTTCTGATCCTGCTCTGAGCCCCACACAGCCCCTCCGGCCGCCGTGGGGCTGAGCCTGCCCGATCCACAGCCCCACAGCCCCAATAGCAGCGCGGTGCTGGGGGGCAGGAGCAGCGCTGCAACCCGAGGAGCAGCAGCCGCATGCCCAGAGCTCCATCCCACCGCGGGACCGCGATCCCCATCCCGGCAGCAGCGGCTCCATCCCGGTCACCGGTCCCCATCGCTGCGGTCCCCCCGGGCCCCCCCCGCACACTCACGGGCGGTGCAGTCGGACGCGGGTGCTGCGCGGCGCGGAGCGGGCACTGCGCGCTCGGGAGGGCGGCCCCGCGCTAAAAGCTGGGCGCCGGGACGGTGATGTCAGCGCGGGGGGGGGGGGGGGGGGCTCCCCGGTTCCCCCCGCCCCGGCCCCTCCCGTCCCGGGGGGCGCCGGCCCCGGCACCATATTTGGGGAAAGACTCCGAAAATCGGGGGCTGCGCTTCGCGCCCGCGCATTCCCCGCGTGCCTCTGCGCGGCGCAGCCCGGCCTTCTATAGCCGCGGAGCTGCCGGCGCAGCGCGCTCCCAGCGACCCCCGACGGGCACCGGCACCTTCGCTGCCCCCCCACTGCCCCCCGGTACCCAGGGAGGAGGCAAGAGGCAAAGTGCAGACACTTTAATGCGAGTCCCTTCCCAGCAGACCCACACGTGGAGACGCCACAGCCTCGTCGGGGGGCACACAACGGCTGGCACCCCCCCGGGATGCTGCAGCAGACACCAGTGGGCCCCCCCCCGGCTGCCACTGCCGGGCCCACACCCCCCCCATCCCCACGATTCAGGCACTGAAGAGAGACCCCCACCCGCATGCTGGGGGCACGGGGCTGCTGGCACGGCCCTTACCCAGGGCCCCCGCCCCACACCACGGGCACGGAGCGGCAGCAGCACCTCTGCCAGTGGCACCAGCAGCCCCTAGCCCTGGTTTTGGCTCTGACAGCCTGGGGACGGGCACGGAGAGCCGGGAGGGAGCCGGCGGTGGGGACGAGGCACACCGGGACCCCCGGGGAGGGGGACGGAGTGGCTGGTGGGGCCCGGCTGGACCCTTAGGGCTGCGTTTGGCACAGTCCCGGGGCACGGGTGGCTGCGGACCCCTAGAAGACGTAGATCTTGTCCCGCTGGACACAGTCCAGGTCATCGTCCAGCGTCAGCAGCACCTGCGGAGCGAGGGGACCGGGTGAGGCGGGGGGGGAACCAGGGATGTGGGAGCCGTGCGGCGGCAGCCGGCACCTACCAGGAAGGAGCCGAACATGGCGATGGAGGAGAGGAAGTGCCAGATGTCGTGGTCATCAAAGAAGTCGAGCAGGATGCAGTCGCGGTTGTGCTCCCGGGACTCGGCCGGGGTTTTCTGTTGGGGACAGGGACCCCCATCACCGCGCCGGTCCGCAGCCCCCCACAGCCCCCTGCAGCACCCACCACTCACCTGCCACGTGCTGAGCCCCTGGAAGAAGAAGAAGAGGGCGAAGCCCCAGACCACGGAGGTGCCGATGATGCAGAGCAAGGGGATGAGCTTGATGCGCTCCCCGCTGCGCAGCTGTGGGGCAGGCGGGGTCAGCGTGCAGCAGGGGCTGCGGGGGGCCCGGCCCTGCACTGCCCGCCCCACACAGCGCATTCGCCTCCCACCTTCATGATGATGTAGAAGGCGAAGTAGAGGAGCAGGTTGCAGATGCCGATGGCCAGCAGGTAGGAAGCGAAATCATTGGGGCGGACAATGAGGCCGTAGGCAGCACTGGGGAGGCAGGGACAGGCAGCGGGGTCAGTGCAGCATCGGGGGCCCTGCCTGCCGTGCCCATGCACCCGCTGTCCCCCGGGGACTGCTGCAGCGATGGGGGGCCGGTCATGCTCTGCTCCCCAGGGAGGGGACCGCAGCCAGGGCTCCGTGCTGCAGGATTGGGATGGGGATGGCAGCAGGGATGGGAGTACAGTTTGGGCTGGGAGAAGCGGTGCAGGGTCTGGGGTGTGCCCGGCTCCTCACTCACAGTGACCAGTTGATGATGTTTCCCATGACCAAGAGCACCATCCGGTCCTGCAAAGGGTGCGGAGGGGAGGTGAGGGCGGGCAGGAGGGGTGCAAGGAGGGGTGTCTGCAGGGCTGGGGACCCCGGTGCCAGCACTCACCACGTACATGGGCCCGCTGCACTGCCGGACGCAGTCTGTGTACAGCACGTGCAGGATCCTGCGCAGGATGCCCGAGTCTGCGGGGACAGGGGAGGGAGAAGGAGAAAGAAGAAGGATAAAGACAAGGATAAGGAGAAGGATAAGCTGCCTCCCCCTGCCCCACTTGCAGCAGTGCCCCCGCCTCACCCAGCTTCCAGCGCCCCATGTAGTAGAGCTGTGTGCTCAGCAGCAGCGTGGCCACGATGTGGATGACGGAGAAGACGATCCAGAACACCGTGTTCCCCTTTCCAAAGACCTGTGGGGCGAGCAGACGGTGGGCAATGGGGTGCCCTGACCGGCTGCCCCCCACCCCCCCATAGGCACCCCTGTACTCACCACACCGACCACAGAGAAGAAGATGACGAGGGCCAGGCAGGCGTAGGCGCTGTAGGCGCTGGCGTTGATGTCCGGGTGACGCTTCTGGTACAGCTTCAGCATGCAGAGCCCCGCGATCATGTACATGAAGGAGGTGTCTGCGGGGGCACAGCGGTGAGCAGGGCAGGGGGGGCCCAGCGCAGCAATGGGGGTGACGGGGGGCACCCACCGAACTGGAAGTTGGTGTAGTTGGGGCAGACGTGATAGCAGGCGCTGAGCAGCCCCTCCATCATGAGCGCCGTGCCCATGGCATAGAAGAGCCCGAAGTGCTTGGGGATGCCGCACTCCTGCAGCACGAGGGAAGAGTGGAAGGAATGGGGGCCCTGTGGGGCTGAGGCCCCCCAGCACACAGCCCCGTGGCCACCAGTCCCTTACCAGGGCATAGGCATCGTTGCGCATGAGCGCGCGGTTGTAGTTGATCTCGCGCTGCAGGATGATGAGCAGGAAGAGCAGACCCAGCAGCACGTAGCCCAGGTTGCTGAGGATGTTGTTGAAGGCGCTGGGGGGGGGGGGGGCAATCAGACGTGGGTGCTGCAGAACCCCCTCCCTGTGCACAGGGACCCCCCCAGGTGCCCATCATCACCCCCAAGCCCACCTGAGGTTCCCCAGCGGGTGGGCACAGAGGAAGTTGTAGTAGCAGATGTCCTGGTTGCCGGTGACGTTCACCACCTGCACGCACAGGGAGACGAAGTGGAAGTGGGACGCGGGGATATGGGGGACATCCCCATTGCATCTGGGGTGCACAGTTGGGGGCCGAAGCCCCCAAAAGCCCCATATGCTGCCCCCACGTCCCCACTTACTGTCTGGTAGGTGATGACGAGCTGGATGACGGGGAGGGCATAGAACACCGCGATGGTGGCGATGTTCCTGTAAGAGGCATGGCAAGGTGCCAGGGGGTCCCCAGGCCAGGACCCCGCTCTGTGCCCCCCACCCCACCGACCCCACTCACCAGAAGTAGATCTGGTACTTCTTGCGCAGCACCCGCTTGTCCTTGCGCGCCAGGTCGGCCACGCAGAGGTATTGCTGGAAGGAGAGGTAGGAGGGCTCAGGGGCGCAGTGGGGGGCAGCCGGGGGGCCGGGGCTGTGGGGCAGGACCCACCTTGGTGCGGATCACGTTCTTGTCATAGTCGATGTCAGCCAGGGTGTCGTAATCATCCTCCTCCACCGAGCTGAGCGAGTCCACGCGCGGCCGCCCCACCACGTGCTCCAGCGAGCGCTCCCCTGCGCCGAGCGGGCATCAGCGGTGCCCAATGCACCCGGTGCCACCCCATGCACCCCAATCAGGCACCCAATTAACCTGAGCCCTCCAGCTCGCCCCGCGGCAGGACCCCAGCACTACCCGGGGAGCATCACCCCTTGTCCCCCACGGCTGGGGATGGCTCGGGACCGGAGGACCGTGTTCCCCCCCTGCCCCGGCTCTGCCTGGGGAGGGAGGTGCTTGTGCGTGGGGCAGATTGGGGGTTGATTGGCCCGTCCCTGCCCAGTACCAGCATCTACCCATGGCAATGCTCAGTGGCCTCAGCGGGGTGGAGGGCGTGCGGCGCTTGAACTGCTCCTGCCCTTCAAAGGAAAGCCAGAGTTACCGGAGCAGGAGCCGGGGGAGCCCCAGCGGGGGTCCCGGTGCGCGTCCACCCCGGTGGCACCGGCACAGAGCCCGCTGCGGGCTGGCACGGAGGGGCCGGTACCGCAGGGACCCTTCCCGGGACGTGGAGAGGGGCAGAGGCGGTGCCAGCGGTAGCACAGCAGCAGCAGCTCTGCGGTGGCCATGGCAGGCGCCACGCTGCCGCCCCGGCACTCACCCACGTAGCCATAGGGGACCTCTGCAGAGCACAGGCTGTCCGTGACGCCCTCGGTGCTGCTGGAGGAGCCGTTCCCTGCAAGGACAAGGACAAGGACAAGGACAAGGACGGGACGGGACAGGCAGACAGTCAGGGCCACGCAGGCGGGGAGGCGAGGGGCGGTGTGTGGCGGCGGCACTCACCGAAGGAGCCATAGCCATAGCTGTCGTAGGGAGAATGGCCCAGGAAGGAGTCAGGGATGCTGCGGCCATGCCCTGCAAGAGGGTCCCCATGAGGCTCCAGCAGCTCCCGTGGTGCTGCAGAACCCACAACCCGCAACCAAGGGGGGAGCAGAGGCTGCACCTACCCAGTAGAGATGCTGGGAGTCCCCGGAAAGCGTGGAAGGAAAGAGACAGACTTGGTGAGGTGCCCCAGCCCCAGAGCGGTGGAACCCAGCCCCAGGATGTCCCTGTCCCCCTCACACTGGGATTTGTTCCCCGGAGCTCAGCAGGGCTCGGGGGGCAGCAGGAAACCTCTGCAAGGGCTTTGCATGGGCTCGAGACGGCAAAATAACCGTGACCCACCCCGGTAACCCCTGGTGCTGCGAGCGGCCCCTCACCCGTGTCCAGGCTGGGCGAGTCCATGGCTGCCAGGAGCCCCTTCCTCTTCTGCTGCCTGCCGAGGGAAGCACCGTGAGGAGCCATGGCCGAGGGGCACGGCCTGACCGAGGCCCCGCCATGCACCGGGGGCAGGATGGCTCCCAGGCAGCACCTGGGACACCAGGAGCTCACCGGCAGCTCTCCCAGCAGGCGATGAGCAGCGTGAGCACGTAGAAGGACAGGAAGATGCCCAGGCAGAAGAGCATGCTCCTCACGTAGGCTTCCGCTGCACAGAGCCAGGACAAGCCCTCAGCGGGGACCTGCTGCTGCAGGACCCCATGGACCCCAGCACCCCCAGCCCTGAATGGCCCCTCCACGCTTACAGGTTATGGCGGGCGACACCATCACCTCCAGCGTCTTCTGCCGGTTGTGCTGGTCCACGGGGTCATCTGGAAGAAGGCACGGGCTGGGGGCTCAGCACCCAACTCATGGCGGCAGGGATGCGCTCGCAGTGGGTGCCTCCCCCAGCATACCCGGTAAGGCATCCCTGGAGAGGGGGTAGTAGGGCAGAGCCCCCCCGCACGCCTCGTCCTCCGTCTTCACCACCACCACCACGTAGAAGCTGTTGCTGGGGAAATCCTTCTTCTGCAACAGCCGTCCCAGAGAGGGGTGAGCAGAGCCTGGCTTTGGGGGGCTCGGGGCTGGTACCCCCAGCACCAGGCGGGGGCCAGCACAGCCCCACACTCACCTGCACCGTGATGGCCGCCTTCTTGGTCATGGTCTGGTACATGCCGATGAAGGCCACGTTGTTGTCCAGGTCGTAGACGGGGCACTGAGGGCACAGAGGGATCGTCAGCCCTATCGGGCACCCCGGGTCACCCAGAGAGAAGACCCAGCGCCCAAACCCACCACGACGTCCTGGATGGAGATGACGGAGCAGGGGAAGGCCATGGCCGAGGTCACCTTCACGATCACCGAGTCCACTCCGTCGGGGAACTCGTACTTGAAATACTGGTGGGGGGGAAGAGCCCGTCAGTGCCACGGTGCCTGCGCTCTCCTCCCCACACGCCCCCCCAGCAGCTCCTCCTCACCTGCGGCTGCGCAGCCGTGGCGTTGAAGCTGAACCTCTCGTTAGTCCTGCGGAGAGCACGGCGGGGCTGATGGGTGGTGAGCCTGTGGCCAGTGGCCCTGGCAAGGAGCGGGGCTGGGGACCAGGGCTGCCCTCACCTCAGCACGAAGTTCTCCACGTGGGTGACCCGCAGCTGGTAGGAGGCGTTGAGGGACAGCGTGGACACATCCACGTAGAAGTGCTGGGTCTCCACCTCGGCCTTGGTCTGCGGCTGGCACAGCGTGCGGCTCACCTCCTGGTACGCGTACTTGCGCTGGTACCTGCGCGGGCAGAGCCCTGCTGTGCCTGCGGGATCACTGCCTGCAGCCCGGTCCCCCCCCACCCCCGGACCGTCCAGCCCCTACTCACATCCCTCGGAGGATGAGCGGCACCTGGAAGGACACCACGGCCTCCTTCTGCCTCACCACGAAGAGGACGGGCAAGTCCTTGTGGTCGGAGAGGACGTTCACCGACACCCGCACGCCCTCCGTCTGCGGGGAGGAACACAGGCGCTGGCCTGGACTTTGCTCGGCCCTCGTGGCGCAGCCCGCGTCCCGCGTCCCGTCGGGGGGCCCCGCCGTGGCGCCCCGGAGCTCCTTGGGGGGGGGATGCAGCGGGGCAGGGGCCGCCCCGCCGGCTCACCCTGTTCCTCCGGACGCTGTGGTTGAAGGCGTAGATGTTGAGCAGGTCTGCGTTCACCCAGTCGCTGTAGGTGGTGTTGAAGCGGGCCTCCTTCTCCCTCACCTCGGGGCGGCCGCAGGGCTGGGGCATGGCGGGCGGCAGGGCCAGCAGCGCCCAGGCCAGCAGCGCCCGGGCCAGCGCGGCCGCCCCGGTGCCCGCCATCCCGACAGCATCCCCGGCCGCGCCCGCACCGGCCAAGGTCCGCCGGGGCGGGCCGGGCCGGGTGAGACGGGCCGGGCCGGGGGGGTCAGCCGGGGCGCGCCGGGGAGCGCGGCCCCATGGCGAGCCCCGCCGCTGCCGCTGCGCTGCCGGTGCCGCCGCCGGTGTCGGTGTCAGCGTCCCCGGGCCCGCGCTGAGCCCGGTGCGGATCCGAGCGGCGCCGCGGGCAGAGCCCGGGGATGCCGGTGCCGATGCCGGTGCCGATGCGCGGTGCCCGCGGTGCCCGCGGTGCCGATGCCGGTCCCGGTGCCGGTGTTCACTGCCGGTACTTTCGCTGTCCCCGTTCCGCAGGCGGCTGTAAACACGGCCCGGCGGTGACGTAACGCGCCGTCACCGGTTATAAAGGGCCCGGTCGGGGAAGTGACGCGGCGGCGGCGGCTCCCACCGGGGGAGCGGCAACGGCGGCAGCGCCCGCCCGCCGGGAGCCCGTGTCCTGTGCGGGACCTCACTGCGGGCATCCCTGTCTCAGGGGAGCCCCTGCCCCATACAGGACCCATAGGGGAGCCCTCGCTCCGCTGCAGTGAGCACCCGACGGGCACGGACACCCCCGACCCTCCCCAGAAGGGGCCGACGCCACATCGTGGTCACCGAGCCCCCAGCCGGGAATGGGGCCGCAGGGAACAACCCCCACCCCGCCCCAAAGCCAGCCCCAGCCCGTCCCTGCTGTGCCATGGCCTCGGGTTTGGGGTGCTCCTGTGTTTTCTGTGTCTGGGTTTTCTGGTTTAATACCCCCCCCCCCCAACCCCATCATCTCATAGGAAGCTGTTTTCCAGGCTTGAGGTGACATCCAAGAGCTCCACTGCTGGTTGCCCTCTCCTGTGCAGGACAAACAGAAGCAGACACGAGCACTGCTGCTATTGTGCACTTTATTTCTACAGGTTCTCCTCTCACCGAGGATCCCAAAGCACTTTTCAGACCGTCTGCACGTTGTCTCCGTGCTCCAGGTGGTGACAGCAGATGGAAGGACTTGCTCAGGGACACACGGACACCCGTGTGGGAGTGGGAAGCAGAGCTCACCCCGGCTCCAAAGCTGCTGCTCGAACTGGAGGATCAGCTCTGCAGGGCTGGCTGTGAGTTGGTGTGTGGTGATGGGTGCTCTCTATTAAACCACCGAGGAACCAGACACGGGCTGTGTCCTCCAAGTGTGGGGTGCCTTCACCTGCAGAGCCCTGCTCACAGCTCTGGAAGCAGGGGAAAGGAGAGGGAAAACCAACAAACAAAGGCCCCAGTGGAGCAGGGAAAGGACAGATGTGAAACAAGGAGTGAGGATGGGGGCGGGTGGGACCCCGCAGGGCCCTGGGGGCAGGTTTGGCTGCTCAGCACAGGGCAGCACCTCCCCAGCCCTCAGAAACGAAACACAGGGAGGCACCCACACAGAGAGGGAGGGAGGGAGGGAGGGAGACGCGGGCGCCTGGGCACACACACACACGCTGCGACACGGTGGGGTGAAACACTGACATTTATATCGCGATATGCACTAACAGTGAGCTCTACCAGCCGATGCATTTTGCCAAAGCAGAATCACAACTGTTTTGTCCCGGGGAAGGCTCAGGGTGGCGAGAGGAGAGGGCAGCACCTCCGGGCATGGGCTTTCCTCCTCGTAGGTCCCATCCTGTGGTCATCCTCCCGTCCCCTGGTAAGTTACAAGAGGCTCTTTCTGTCATTTCACTTCCTTTGTTTTATGTCCCTGCTGCAATGAACATGAAACAGACGATGCTCAGCCCCTAAGGAGGAACCTTCTCTACCCGGCTCAGGAGGAAGTGCTGGGTTTTAGCTCGAGAACCCCTCGCTGCCCTCACATAGAAGCCTGCAGCTGGAGTGGGACAGGTTGGGACTGGGCAGCGACAAGCAGAGCTCTGGAGCGAGCTTCGGGAGCAGCACAGCCCCAGCCTGCCTCGTGGGGCAGGACCGGAATCCCTGCTCCACTGCCGAGCTCCCTACTTCCGATCCTGGCAAGCGGAACATCTTTCCTTCATCTGTGTGTAGATCACATATACTGGAAACAAAACACACACTATGCATGCAATCCAGGCAGGAATCCTGCTATGATCAAATCTACAGGAAGAGGGGAAGGTAGCGGGGACAGTCATGTATTCCTTAACGCGAGGTTATAGACGCAGCAAACACCAGCACCCTCCGCTATGAAGAAGGGCAGACAAACTATGTACAGCACCAACGTGCTTCACTGCAGCAGAGCGCAGCAAGCAACCCGGACACCTCAACACCCCTCGTGCCCGACACGCCGTGGAGTGCCTGATACAAAGCCAGTCGTTCCTCTTGGATTTACCTGCCAGGACCCATGGTGGTGGCTCATGGCCGGACACTGCACTGTGAGCCATGGCAAGGTGCATGGCACCAGCTCCGGCAGGTAAGCCAAGGAGGAAGTGACTGGGCTGAAAACAAGTTTCCTGGCAAGTGGAGTTATTTATTCACTGAGGGCTCTGCTGTATGGGTCCAAACCAGCTTCCTTCTGAAAAAAAGAGAACCTTTCACTTGTAAGTAAAAGCTGTTTGCATACAACCGTCAGTGACTACTGCAGCCCTCCTAACAAAAACTAAACCCAAATGCTGCCTGGCCTGGACCCCTGCCCCTGTGGCTGCCTCAGCCAGGAGCAAGGAGCAGTGTCCAGGGCAGGAAAACCTGCACCTCTACTTCACTTGTTACTGCAAGAGGCTGTAGTTGCCTGTAGTTGTTTGTACAAGTAAACCAGAAGCGACAAAGAAATGTACACCTTGGAATCTGTAAAGCTTCAGAGTGCTGCAGGCCTTGGGAGAGGGACAGGGCAATGGATTTCCTTTAGAAATAAAGGATGTAACAGTCATACCTTAAAAAAAGAACAAAAAGGAGCAACGCACAGCACTGTGAGAGCCCCGTGGCACAGGCAGCTTGGAGTGAAAGAAACAGCGGCTCTAGAGCAGCGAGGAAGCAACTGCCCAGTGCAGTGTCACTGGGGGATTAGAATCCTAAAGAGCTACTGTGAAAAGCCAGCAACAACATGGGGCAGAGCACAGGGCAGCAGCAGCAGCACCACAGCCACATGGCACAGGGAGGGAAGGAAAAGTGACCTGGTGGAAACAGCACAAGGGCAAGCGATGGAGTGAGCCGCTTGCTCCTGTGCACTTCCCAGTTCCAGCTTCATGCTGCTTCAGGGAGAAGGAGTGAGAAAGCAACACGTGTCATTAACCCCCAACCAAAAAAAGCTTCCAAAGGTGGGACCGAGTTTGGGAAAATGCATCTGTTCTGGCTTTGCAAGTGGAATGTGATTCTTGGTCAGCGCTAACACAGAGCACGACGCCTACAGCCGGGAGCCGAGCGTGGCCACGGGGGTTCTAGGACAACCACAGAGCAACAAGACATGAGAGGGGCACAGAGTGACAGTCCTGTTCTCCTTGTGAATGAGGAATGGTTTAAAAGTAAAACTCTTCATCAGCTACTTTCCTCCTGCAATAAAAGCAACCCAGCCGGCCCTCATCTGTACAAGACCAGTTAAACATCAGCCTTCCCCCTCAAAACACTAGGTACGGACATCCGGTAACATTCTACAATGGAAAGTGCTTTAAGAAAGAAGGATTCTGTAGTGCCAGTGACAGAACTGATCTGATGGGCTGGGTGATGCTGTCGATGCCGGGAGCTCAGGCCAGGGCAGCTCGTTTCTCCTCGGGGGTCTCCTCCAGCAGCTGCATGATCAGTTCGTGGAGGGGTTTGCAGATCTTTGCGTAGCCCCCTCCCGTGAGGTGCAGGAAATCAAACATGTCGTGGTAGGAGATGGTGCCATCCGAGTGCACGAAGCCGGCGTCCACATCCAGGAGCTGCACGTTGCACAGTTTGGGGAGCGAGGCTTTCAGCAGGTGGTTCACCTTGGCATTCTTCTGCCGCAGCGGGTTTGGCTTCTCTCCACGAGGTAGCAGGCCCTGGCATAGGGAGGAGGCAAAAAAGAGCTTCATAAACCCTGCTGGCATAACACTGCCCGCTTCCCCTTCTGATCCAGGCTGCGACAAGAGGGATCCCTCCCTTCAATCAGGCTCGGTCCATCCAGACCCAATATGAAACACAACTGAGGGAGGCAGGTGAGCCGTGGGCACCCCTTTTCGCTTCACAGGACTTCTTCGACAATGCTTCTAAGCAGGGCAGGAGTACCACTAAGGGGGAGGATTCCACCCGTCCCAGAAGGAGGAGTGCTGCACAGCCAAGGGAGCAAAGGGAGCACAGAGCGGGGCAGGTAAACACCCGCTCGTCCCAGCACCGATCACCCATCCCATCCCTCCGAGTATCACAGAGGGAGAGCACAGAGGACACGTGGCTCCCCTGGGCAGTTTGTTTTCCAGCTCTAGGAGGCATCCCAGCCCAGAGACGTACCAGCACAATGACTTTGGCCTGTGGCTGCTGGGTGTTGATCAGGCGCACGATGGCCTCGATCCCTCCTGCTACTTCTTCTGCTGTGTTTTCGTGGTTATTTGTTCCAACCCAAACAACAATGACCTACAAGGAGAAAAAGCGTTTGCAGCCTGTCCACAGCCACTTGTCTTGGGCTCGTGACCCTGAAAGCCTGAACAAACACCATCTCTGACAGCGAGCGACGCAGAGAGTCAGCCTGGAGCCTGCACCCATGCTGCAAGAGGCCTTCAGCACTCGGGTGTGCCCGCTTCTGAGGAGCTTGCAGTGACTGCAGCTGATCCTCACCACAAGTCCTGGCCATCTCCACTAACTCCTCATCAAATCCTGCCCCATCCTCTTCTAGAGGCTAAGAACACATCTCAGACCTGGGAGGCACAGTGCAATGCCAACCAACACCCAGCTATGGGAAACCATGTTCACCTCTACTAGGAGGTCGCCTCCATTTACTGATGCCATTCAGCAGTGTACACCTCACCTACAGCCCTGCTCCCAAACAGTTCTGGTTTAGCCCAGCACACTGCAACACCTGAGATGTGCTCAGTGCCAATGGCTGCTCAAACAGAAAGCTCTGCTAACAGCTCACTCGGTTCTGCACCCCTCAAGCACTGAAGTCTTGTCTAAGCACAGCGCTCCCGGCTTTGGGTTCTGCGTGTACCTTGGGTTTAATGTTCTCCAGTTCACCGTTCTTCAGTCTCCATAGGACATGGCCTGTGGTGTCTCCACCGATTCCAAAGTTCAGTGCATGAAGGGGTGAGAAGAGCTCCCGCCAGATCTGCAAGCAGAAACCAATTTGTGTTTGCAC